TCATTGCTGGCACCCAGACCCAAGTGGAGGCAAGCAAGGACAGCTCACCTGCGCAAGATGTGCAAGAGGAAGACGCCGAGGGTGAGGAGGATATGGAAGGTGTAATTCAAGAATCTCAGCATGACGAAGGCGCTGCTGAGGATTCTGACGAGGAGGGCCCGGTGGCCCGTAGTGGCCGTAATCTGAGGGTACGACAGCATTTGACTCTGAGTTGTGTGCTCAAACTAACCAGTCTTCTAGAATCGTGCCGCATCATCCAAGCGCAAGCGTGCCGCCGACGAGAGCAGTGACTTTGAACCCCCCGCCGAGGACGAAAAAGAAGAAGAACTATCCGAGTCCGACAATGACAAGGGCAAGGCATCTGCATCAGAAAGCGCTTCAGGCTCAGGAAGGCGGTCGAACCGCCTCCGAGGGAAGACTCGTCAGTCCCAACGTAGCAGGCGCAACTCATCGTCTGAAGAATCGGGGTTGGATCAAGATGAATTGCAGGATGAGCTTCAGGACCTGGAATACAACAAAAGACGGCGACTGAGCCGCCGAAAGCCGGACGAGGATCTGGCTTATGACTCGGTGCCCAAACGTCGAGCCCGTAACACCGGAGTAGACTACCGTGTCGTCCGACCAGAGATGAACACCATGTTCGACAATGACGACGATCCTCCCGTTGCCGACAAACCACGGGCAAGAGGTGGCCGATCTACATACAGGAGCCTCTGGCGCAGCCAAGGTCCCTTTGGCGGCGGTGTCGAAGCTGGTATAGGTGCGGCAGGCGGTGACTCTGACAGCAGCGAGGATGAGAACCAGAAGATGCCTAAGCCAGCTGGTGCAATGATTGGCATGACCCCAACCACAGCGACGGCCCCCGGGTTCGGGTTTCCCCAAACTCACAATGCTGACCCACAACAAGCCTCTGGTGGTGGCCCAGCAAACCTTGGCAAGGTCAAGGACAAGAAGGCTCTTGCGGACGCTGATCCTCTAGGTGTCGATCCAAACGTCAATTTTGATGGGGTAGGCGGTTTGGATGACCACATTAACAAACTGAAGGAAATGGTCATGCTTCCACTGCTATACCCTGAAGTTTTCCAACGCTTCAAGATCACACCTCCACGAGGTGTTTTGTTCCATGGACCACCCGGTACCGGTAAAACACTTCTTGCCCGTGCTCTCGCTTCCAGTGTCAGCACGCATGGGCAGAAAGTCACATTCTACATGCGCAAAGGTGCCGATGCTTTGAGCAAGTGGGTAGGAGAAGCTGAGCGGCAGCTTCGTCTTTTGTTCGAAGAAGCGCGGAAAACCCAACCCAGTATCATCTTCTTTGATGAAATCGATGGTTTGGCACCCGTTCGATCAAGTAAACAAGAGCAGATCCATGCTTCGATTGTCGCGACCCTTCTTGCCTTAATGGACGGCATGGATGGTCGTGGGCAGGTCATCGTCATAGGTGCTACCAATCGACCTGATTCAGTAGACCCTGCACTTCGACGTCCAGGACGATTCGATCGAGAGTTCTATTTCCCACTACCAAATGTTGCAGGTCGACGAGCCATCATCGACATTCATACCAAAAACTGGGACCCACCTCTAAAGCCGGATATGAAGGATCAACTTGCAGAGCTGACCAAGGGCTACGGTGGTGCCGATATTCGGGCCTTGTGTACAGAGGCAGCCTTGAACGCCGTGCAAGGAACATATCCTCAAATCTACACATCCGAAAAGAAACTATTGATTGATCCTAGCAACATTAAGATCCTAGCAAAGGATTTTATGATTTCAATCAACAAGATGGTTCCTTCCTCTCAGCGAACGGTCACAGCAAGTGCGGCGCCATTGGGCAAGAATATCGAGCCACTGCTGCGGAAACCCCTTGAGGCAATCATCAAGCGCATTGACGAACTTATTCCTCGGAGGAAGAAGCTCACGGCACTCGAAGAAGCTGAATTCGACGATCGAGACGACGAGAAAGGTTTCGAGCGTGAGGCCACTATGCGAAATTTCGAAAGCAGCAGGATCTTTAGGCCTCGTCTACTCATCAGTGGTCTCCAAGGCATGGGTCAGCAATATCTTGGCGCTGCGTTGTTGAACAGAATAGAGGGATTGCACGTTCAATCCTTTGACCTTCCAACCATCTTGGAAGACTCAACGCGAACACCCGAGGCAGCCATCACGCAACTGTTCACTGAAGTGAGGCGACACAAACCTAGTGTCATCTACATCCCTGCAGTCGACGTCTGGTACCAAACACTACCCGCACAAGCGATCAAAACGTTCAAGCTTCTTTTGCGAAGTATTGGCGCTAATGAGCCGATCATGGTTCTGGGTATCACGGAACTATCAAGTGAAAATGAGAAGCCTGACCGACAGATGATGATGGATCTCTTCTCCTTCTCACAGACGAACCAGTTTCAGCTTAAGCGGCCGGACCAAGAAGGCCGCTCGGAATTCTTTAACAACATCAGCCACTACATCCGCATGTCTCCTGCAGATTTCCCCGATCCTGATAATAGGAAGAAGCGCGTACTGCCTGAACTGGAGGCCGCTCCCATCGTTGAGCCGGTTATTGATCCTAAAGAACTTGCGGCTCGCGAAAAGTGGCAGAAGAAACAAGACAGACTCACGCTCAACAAGATGAAGATAGTTATTCAGCCCATCATGGATCAGTTAAAGAGGAGCCACAGGAAGTTCTTCAAGCCAATTTTGGAAGAAAGCTGGTACTCTTATTTGCTTGAGGAACAGGATCCTGATTTTGTCCGCTCAGACTTGCCACACGACGAGCAAGAAGAGCAGGGTGCCATACGGCCATGGGAGTTCTCTAAAGATTCCAAGGGCGTCGACGTCCTTTTGCACGTGGAGAGTGGCAACAAGTACTACAACTTGGACCTTAGTACCATCGAGAAACGCCTTTCGAATGGTTACTACAAGCGCCCAGCAGATTACCTCTTTGATATCAAGACTCTTGTCAAAGATGCTAAGACGTTTGGAGATGCCGAACGAACCTTGAAGGGTAATGAGATGATTACCAACGTCGAGGTTGATCTCGACAACTTTTTCATGCAGCAAAATCCCGGTCTGCTCGCAGAATGTGAGGCAGTATATCAGCGCGAACTCGAGAGGGAGCGCAAGGCGCAAGAGAAGCGGGAGAAGGCTCTAGCGGCGAACAAAGAGTTTGCTGATATCGCCCGGGTGCCTCCTGAGCAATCAATCGGTACAACGGAGACCTCGGGGCCTATTGTCTTGGGCGAACCCATTCCTGGACACTTGGCTATGCCACCTGTAACTCCGTTGCGGCCAGTTCATGCCGCGGAGTTATCCAATGGCACACAGCACGCAACCAACGGCTCTACCGCACCTTCCAACGATGACACACACATGACTGACAGCCAAGATTTGAATGCCAATACGCAACATGATTTCCACTTCCAGACTCCAAGTAGGATTGACACTCAGGGAACTCAGACGCAGAAGTCGCAGGTCGCGGGTCGCACATTTATGGCGCCGAACTCGCATCCCAACGACTACCACAACAGCGCTTCCACGACAACTTCTGGTCAAAAGACTTCGCACAGGTCTTCAGACAACAAGTTCAGTACTCAGAGTAGCAATGGTGTTGCCCCCACTGGCATCCCCAACTTTTCGGAGATGCTGCCAGAACAGAGCGGCTCACAGCTTCCTGACACACAAGGTTCGCCAAATTTCTTTGCTCGACGCTTCCAACTCTCACCCCGTATCTCCCCAGCACCAACAACTGACCACGTCCCCAAAACAGAAGTCCACTACGTCAGCAGTCAACCGTCAAACTCTCAACCCTCGCAATCATCGCAATACGTTACTTCCATGCCAGCGCCTGCACCTCCACATCACTCGAATCTCAACCAGATTTTGAATGACGAGGAGCCGAAGCCTCAGCTCATTATCGACGATGCGCTGGTTACGGCCTTGCACGATAAGCTCGTGCAGTCTACATCCGGCTGTTCACTCGAACAACTAGAGCAAATCAATGCCGCGCTCATGGACGCCATCTGGAAGCACCGATCCGACTACAACCGCAACGTTGTCCTTAAGGAGGTCACCGAAGCGTTCAACGTCATCATCAATGATATCCAGGCCATGCAAGAAATCCTTCGATCGAGCCAAGAAGAAGAGGAGGCGGAACTGCGGAGACAATACCACTCTACGCAAGATGACTGGTTCTCTCAGACACAAGCACGTCACTAGAGTTCCAGCAACCGCTTTGTACATAACCCCCTCTTCTTCCTCTCTTGGTTTAGGTCGTTAGGGCCGTTGGATGCATCGACCTATGCATGGCGTTTTAGGTATAACGGAGAACATGTAAGGGAGGCTGTTGTGTCTTTTTTGTTGGCATATACACACCTTTTCTAATGGAGTTAGAAAAAAAGGAGTTGTCATGCTGTTTATTTCTTCTCTCGGTCGCTATATCACCACACCACTACTACCCATGTACCATGACTTTTCCTATTTGTCCCGTTTTCTTGCCTCTCTACTTTTGTAAGATGCGCTAGATTGCATATCTCGAGACGGCGGGGCTGTCTCCCCCCTTTTGAATGTGTGTGGGCTTAGTTGCTTCTGGAAATATTTGTACGGCGGAATTTTTTTTGTGTAGTGTGTGTAAGAATGAAGAAGATGATTTATTCCAGTAAAACTGATAACCCCAGTTTTCTTTTTTTTTGGTCAGTTTGTTTGTTGTTAAGTTTTGTTATGCGTTGCTGAGAAGATACTTGCTTTTAGCGTAGACAGTGGTCAAAGAATAAAACAAAGTAAAGAAGAGGATCTAATCGTATCGGCACATCTAACCCCAATTCCTACTCTATCTCTTTCCCTTATTCTACCCCAACGAACAAGTAAACGCCTAGAAGTTACTTGAACGGATCTTTGCAGTCGCGATGTCCCGGGTCGCTACACGGCCACCCCGGACACCCCGTTATCATTAGTCCGCAGCAGTACGTCACAGTATTGGGCTCTGTATAACAGGTATCTGGTGAGCATTGCGAGTCTGCGGTGGCAATCGCGGATGTAAGGGGGTATGACGAGGCTGGAGTGGCGGGCTTTTCGGGTGGAGCGTTCAAGGTACTAGGGGAGATTGGGAAAGTCGTGGAAGAGGTGGGATTGTCCTGCTTGCTTGTGAGCTGATTGACTTGGGAGTTGGACTTGATGTGATCACAGATTTGCTGTCGTTGGAGGTTCCGAAGATCGCATGCCTATATAGGACAAATAAGGTGATGGCTAAGAAGCCCAAAAACGTAAGTGCCACAATAGCCACGATTTCTATATGGCCTTTTAGGAAACCCTTTAGACTGAAATTGTTGTCCTGATGTGCTCCTTCATTGTGGTTTTGCGAGGTAAAATTCGGATTTGCAGTACTATTGTTGCAACCGTCCCCACCGACGTTACGATTAAACATATGGTTCTTTCCAGGAATTATGATATCCCTCATATCCGAATGTATGCTGAAATGAGCGGCCATGTTGTGATACTGAAGAGTAGATGTTATTGGATTAAGGATGTGATAAGGCTGAGTACCTTCCTAACATACATTTGGGTACCGGAGGAGCAGAAAGTTGAGGGCGAGGGGTTGGAGAAGTAGCACTGCAGGCCGGCGTTTGCATCACAAATCTCTTGGAGTCAACGTAGCTTATCATGGCTATGAATCAGGCTCCGAGGTTCAGAGAACTCCACAGCGAATGATACAAAGTATGTTTCCTGTGAAGACATAGGGGTAGTGCGCCTTCTGCTACCCCTTGGTAAAGGGCTACCAATCAAGATTGTATGTGTTGTGTATGCCATAACATTGGCGCTTAAGCAGTGACACACGACCTTTCCAAAGATAACTCTAGCGTCAATCAGCCTACTCTCAGGTCTATCAAAACGGGTACAGACTGCGCTGGCAATGGGGGCAAAATGATTCCTTTCATCGACACATACCCCGATCTGATTAGCACGGACAACGACAAGAGAGCACTTTTAGTTTAACATGCTATGAGGAGCATGCTCAGGCTATCTTCTCTGCTGGATATTTGGACAAAATTGTGCAGTAAGGCTGTGTCACGTTGTCAGCTGCATCTTATGTAACCGTACGAAAGGCTCTATGCAAACTAAATCATAGTGCCAGAGGCTGATTTCTGCCTTGTACACCATTCAGTAGTGATAAAAGAAGCCAAAATTCACCGGAATGTAGTATTTTGAGAGAACCTTGTGGTGCCACGTTGGTTTTGCATGTGTGTTGATGTGATAGAATAGGCTGACACGGGTTCGCTTGTAACCACCAACTTGCATGTGGCTGTATATTCACCAACGTGGACCATCTGAAAGCAGGTGGCGGTTTCTATTTGATGAATTTCCGCCTGGTAGATTCTCCTCGATATTCAGCCTTCGATAAACCTGTCCCGTCTTCAATACAATACAAATATGGAACTCGTTGGCTCTGCAGCAAGCGTTAGCCAGCTTCTGGTTTACTTATCCTCATCAGTTAATGGCCTCAAGAGACTTTATGCTGAGATTGCTAGTTGCAATTCGACTTACCGTGACGAAGCAACGAATATTCAGCTATTACTTCACACTCTTCAACGCTTCGGTCATCAACAAGTTGTCGACGACCACAGCCTCGTCCTCCCTATTCTGATATCCATATCCGGTATCGCATGCCAGGCGCTACAACTCCTTAAACCAAAGCGAATATTTGGTATCAACTGGGCACCAGTCACATCAAAAGATAAGATCATCTCAGCGTTCGAGACGCTTGACAAGAAGAGGAAATTACTTCATTTATACATCTCCCAAGAACATCACAAAGCCCTCTTGGATCTTCGACAGATGGTTGAATCATCTTGTAAGAAGCCTTGTGCGGCAACGCCTGTAACAAGGTCAACTAGAAGCGACACGTCTCACAGCGCTAAGGATAAAACTGCCGCATCCATGGAACCACATCCAAATCAATCGGCTGAGCGGCCTATCAGAACGATCAATATAAAATTCTTTTCTGTAGTAATGATATAGACTAATACTAACAACAGTCTAGTTCACATTGAGACGTACCAAAATCTCCGGCCATAACTCGATGTTCAACGGTCACGCGCAAGCCAACATGACTGCCATAGCCGAAGACCACGAATCAACAGGGCAGGAATTCATGGCAAACGCGAGTGACGAAGCCGAAAGAACGTTTTGGCAATCTGGCCGTCACAATATAGGCCATCCAAACCCAGACTATACCCACATGCCGGCTAGGGCAGTTGTGCCGGCGTCAAGCTAGGGAAATCATGCTAGAGGAGCAATACCCAGGTTCCGCGAGATCTCTAGCGATCGATTCATCTCATCACGCGAACCATCATCTTATCGAGGAGCCGATTCTAGGGCGGAGGTTTGGAAGCCGTCATGGCATGGTAACCACCACACACAGCCTTTGGAGCAAAATTTCACCACCCCACAGTACGGTGCCCAACAGGTACAAGGCCTGGATAGAAGCTTCAACAGCCCACAGTATAGCAACCAACAGGTACAGGGCCCAGAACGTGACTTCACCAGCCCACAGATGAACGAAGGCAGATTGAGACATCCCAACCACGACCAGGCTGAAGGTTGGTATCAAGATGGGAATAGACACCCCTACCCCCTCCGCAAATAATTGAGAATTCCAGTTCAGGCAATGCACAACGAGAGTTCAGAAACTTGTAAGGCACAATTGTGGGGTTGCGGACCATCGACGCATTCAATGCTTAAGGGCGCACATCAGGCAAGGCATCGAGTATGGTTTTCGAGAACGTCTTTCTCACAGAGTGTTAGTTAGCGTGGAGGCGTTGCAGTAGAGAAGTGTCGGACACATGTGCCTTAGGTAGTCAAGACTTCCAACAAGGTCCTTTCTTAGGCATAACATTCCTTCTTTTATTCAAAATTCATCATGTTTATTAGTCTTAAAAAGTCTAAATCATGTCACTGACATTCGCTGGCATCCTTTGGTCACAATTTCAGTATGATGTCCAAGGAGCGTTCGGCGTTAGCGCATGGATCATGTCGATTTTCGCTGCTCTTGTTGCTGTTCTAGTTATTTAAGTTGAGAAGCAAGGCTAATCTGAATGTACATCTCCAGTTAATATCAAATCAATTTTTCTAGTTCCTCAAGCGCGAAATGACGAATGCTGCAACAAGATATATACACTGCGTGATGAATTAGCATATTGTTCATCTGATCAATAACATAACTTACAGCAGAGAAAAAGTACGGTAGGCCAACACCAATACCCCCAAGTTTTATAGCCTGTACCCACAGTACAGTCATCAAAGGAGCGCCGACTAGCGACCCAAGCGTCTTTGTCAACATGACTATACTGAAGTCCTGGACATCTGAATGCGCCAGCGCAATAAGAGGTGACTTGACCAGCGACATTGTAAAAACCGGCAGCGCAGAGCCAAGTGCATATACAATCAAAGCTAGAGGTGAATGTCAGTGTACCTCCACCCTATCATCGCCATTCTGTCTACGTACCAGCAAGTAGCATCCAAAACCTGAACGCTAGTGCCACACATAGCACGCCTGCCACCGAGACCGCAATGCTCACTTCTGCACCTATGATATTAAGCCGCACTTCAGACCCATGGACCGTCTTGGATGACATGGAGTTCCGAATGATGCGTGGCACGATTATAGCCAGTAATGTGAAATTCACCAGTGCTTTGGCGGAGAGCATGTAGCCTGCCTGTGCAAAAGTCCATTCATACCGCTTGGAAATATATTGCACCAGCAACTTCGTATCCGAACTTGCCAGCGCAGTAAGAAAAAAGGAGCAAAGCAGGATTTGGAATTTGCGGCGGCCAGTAACCAAACGCCTCATTTTGCGCGTTGCATGCAATATACTTTGTAAAAAGCTAGCATGCGTTTCGAAGTCCTCGGCATGTCTGGTGGTTCTGCCTTGAAGCAACGGTCCAGCTTCTTCGTCTGGGTCTTGGGGAATGGAATCTGGGGCCATAGAGAGAGTTGGTGTTTTTGAAATCGAAGGGAGCAAGCTGATAGTTGGTATGGCGCAGAGGAGAAGAGCGATGTTGAGCCAGAAGGGGAGCCAGGGACTGTTGTTCATGGTGAATGCGGCGAGAGTTGGTCCCAGGAAGGAGACAATGTAGGATGTTGAGCTTATGTAGGAGAAGTAGGATGCCCTTCGGTGAATCAGCTTCTCAGGATACTGGGGAGGGGGGGTTAAAATGGGTAGTTGGATAGTTTACATACCGTTCCACATATTCACTAGCTAAGGCTGAAGTCAAAGTGAAGATGGTAGACTGAAATACACATTCGCCTCCAAGAACATTGAAGAATGGGCCGGCAATGATGGCGTTGGTCGGGAGGATATGCGGATAATTACCTGGTACAATGTTCAGAAAAAGCCAACCACAATATTCTATGAGATGTGATCAAAAAGGGTAATGATAATACATACCAACAAGCATAGCCCAAGCACTCATGAAAATCCTCGGCATCAAATTACACAACAGTACAATCTTGACGCCCCATCGCTCAGCAACAAAGCTAAACGGTATTGTCACGATGAAGTTTATGAGTGTGGTGTCAGCACCGGGGAGAACAAGTAAAAATGAACACCCACATACCGCAAACAACAAGCGTTGTCTCCATAGTCCCTTGCAGCCACGCAAGGCGACGCTGCACATCATCTATTTTACACAGCTTCTCTGGTATCGAGCCATCTGGCTGTATAGTCGATGGATCACGCAGCTCGTAATGCGCCTGACATAGTCGGAGTTCAATCACCCGATTAAGCGGAAGCGTATACAAGACAGCTGAGAGATGGACAAGAACAAGGAGTAGTACTAAGGGCAATATTGCGCGTTTATGTACTACTGCTGTAGATGGAGCGAGGGAAGCACGACGGAGTGGGGGTGACGGAGTGCGCAGAAGCCTGCGACTATGAAATTCAGACATTTATTATGTATGATGCGAAATCTATACCACGGCTTGCATCGTCACCACTGCTTGTCGTGTGTCTGGCGTATAGTAGCACACCCATCTCTCCCTCTCTCTCTCCCCTTAGGTCGCTGTTATCGCGCACCTCACGATAAGACACCATCCACGTGATCACGATAACGCACCTCACAAGTACCCTCTGTAAACCACCAGCACCAAGCACTTTCCCAACTCGCCACGCAAGGCAACCCATCTCGCTAACACCATCCTCTCTCCCCACCTCACCTAATCGCCCAGGGAAACCGGGGTGAATCCGTAATCCCAGCGCATAGGCCCACAACGATATTACCGCTTCTAGTCCAACCCTCACTTATTCGTCTAACTTCCCGGATTCCGATTGGGGAAATAAAGACCAAACCCAGTAAGCAAGACAGAAGGGATCATCCCAGTAACCCACAAGTGACCAACGCATTGGGCCGAACTTGTTCCACGGAAGGGCAAAGGGGAGAGGGGGGGGGGGCGGGAGAAAGGGCAACAACAACAACAAACACGCAATTTTGTCCCAAAATAAACCAGTAATACTACTCGATAAATGTTCTATCCCTCAACATACGGGAGTTATCAATGTTATCATTGTTATTGATCAGCAGCTCGCTGCTAATCTCCTGCGTATAGTCTCTCTCTCTCTCTCTCTCTCTCTCTCACCAAGTAAAGAAAGTTAAAAAAAAAAAAGGTATCAACTATCCCGTTCAAAGGAACACCTTTCGAGACCCACACAACCGCTGACTTTGCCGCGCTTCGTTACTTCTCTGCTCAAAGCCAGGTTTCCTACCTCTCTCTCCAAGTAAGTAAATAAATCCGCGGAGCGGGAGCGCGGATGGAGAAAATCGTCGTGGCTGGGGATGGTTAGGGGCGCAGGCTCTCAAGGGTACTTCCTTGCGGGCAATGTCTTGCTTGTCAGCCCCCTCTCCACTCCCAAGATACCTAGTAGTATGCATTACCGGGTCCGTCCTTGGAAAACAGCCATGCCACGTCTGCGTTTGCAACCCACTTTTGGAGAAGGGGGGAGGAGTTTGTGTGGTCCTGTAGCTATGAGGAGCGTGACCGTATGCGAAACTGCCGTAGAAGTGGCATACGCAATCGTTCTCAAAAGCCCACTAACACCGTACTTTGCCCTCCCAGGGGGCTCTCTCAAAAGGCCATGTTCTGCGGGAGGGGTGTTTTTTTGAGGGGGTGGTGGTGTGTACCCTGCAAATGTTCGCCTCATGTTTGGGTCTTGGAGGAGTATGTGCGTCACACCCTCCCGGCGACCTGCCACCCCCCATCTCTCTCTCTGTCGTTCTAATTCCTTCCTTTCTTCTCACTTGCTTTTTCTATGCGCAACAGATAGATATAGGACTAGCGCGGTGCCGGCTGCAAGGACCGCGAGCAGCAAAAGCACAATTACGATTGTGGCGCGGAGTTTATTCTGCATCCATCCTGCGCGTAGTCGGTTGCGTCTGGCCCTGGTACGCGGGTCCAGTGCGATGTAGTCTCTTCGCCAAGGAATGTTGTCGAAGATTTCGAGCGATTCAATGGATGCAGGAGACGGTGGGGCAGATGTCGGATCGCACTCAGCATATCGCGGACAGAGCGTGTTGTTTGCAAATGCCGTGTCGTCGTCGGTGTAGGGCGAGAAGATTCGGTAGCCTCCCGTGGGTGTGCTGGTAGCTGTTATGGAGATCTTGAGCGGTTAGTGAATGAAAGCGCTGATAGGGCCCGCCCAGGCGCCGTGTGTTGAATACTCACTAGAGGCATACTCGCCAACATATGCATCGAAATGACGTGAATGTAGTGCTTGACTGCTCGATGGGCAGAGCATGACAATCTTAAAGACTTCAAGTTGCATTGCTTACTTTGAAACCTGTGGCAAGTGGACGTAGCTTGCGTCGCATCACGTCAAAGCATCCACTCGCCCAACGCAAGTTGCTGGGGCCATCATAGGCTGAAACACATAAACAAGGATACACCGGAGAAGATGCGTGCAAGGAGAACCAAGTGGTGAAGGGCGACCGTTTCTATAGCTATTTGATGTTCGTAGCGCTTCCAGCCCCGCTGTCAAGTACAATCTAGACGTCAACCATGCTTGTAGCATACCACGCACTCTCTTCACCATCCCTCCACCAAACACGCAAAAGACAAACATCGGACACCCATGGAACAAAAAAAAAAGGGGTCCGAAAAAAAAGATTCCAATTGAGAAAAAAAAAGAAGGGTATCTCTGCTCGCTTAAGCAAACAACACCTGCGAGTGAGCTTGATTGTGCTTGCTTGCTTGTATTCCAATTTCACCCTCCAGCCGCTTTTCCTCCCCTCAAGCCGTGGGTGCAGGTCGGAAGACCCATATTAGATGGAATCAATGTCCAAGAAGAAGGGTGCTCGACTTGACCTAGGCCCCGCAAACCGAGCTACTGACCAGAGCAAGTAGGCCAAGAAGCGGGCGAGGGTGCAGTATTTTTTTTGGTCGGACTAAACAAAAGAAAATGCTTGAAACAGGAAAGAGGTGTTCTTTGATATCGCAGAATAACAGGGAACAAACGCTTGGAGATGCTAGAAAGGATTACCGTGCAATGAGGCACATGTACGAGTGTTTTTGGTACAACGCAACCCTCTTGGACAATAACGAGACGGCCAAAGAGGGTGGGAGTTCTTTTGACAGAGAAGATGACCAGCCACTACCTGGCCCAAGTAATTGCTTACATGTGCTGGGGGTGGAGATACTGGTTGTGGAAGTATTGACCCTGATGTTGCGGTGGCGCATGCTCCGATGTAGGTGTGGTGGGATACAGGGAAGCAGGCTGCGACTTGACAACGTGACCATACGTGAACTGCTCGCCTTCAGGTGTGATTGGCGGGGTAGGGCATCCATTCTGCATAACAGAGGCGTATGGGTTCTTGTTAGGTGTTTGAGGACCAAACGGTTCCGAGGCAGGCTTGGGCTCGTCGATGACTACTGTGGGTGGCGGTGTTGGCGGAGCTGCTTGTCGGCGCGCGATCTGTGCTTGTCGCTGAAGGAACTCGTCGACAGTAGCAGACACGGCTGACAGATGCATGGAAGCATACTTGCGAGAGAGCACAGGAGATGGCTGGTACAGGTGGTTGGACAAGCCAATCACGGTTTGCGGGTCGTAGGCGCCAGACCAGTCGGTGTTGCGTGCTTGCGGTCGCGAAAGGACACACCTCGCGAGAGCGAGAGCAGATCGTGCGAGGACGGATGGGCGCGTGGAAACAAACTCCTTGTGGAAAAGTGCAATCTCAGCAATGTAAAGCGTCATGTGCTCAACCTCGGCATCGTATGGGGCCTCGGATAGCGCAATCTGGAGGAATGCATCAACTGTGGTGTGTCCAATCATCCAGTTGAGAGTCTGTAGCACGTGCCACTCCATCTGGGTGAACATCTCATCGTCATACAAAGAGCAGCACATGGACTTGAGTTCCCGTACAGTAGGCACACGATCTTTCTTGTCGCCGTACTTAGCAGCAATGAGGAGGGCAGCACATCCGACGAGTTGGTAGTGGCGCTTGTAGACGACACGACGGGAGCAGTAGCGATCGAGAAGGTTGACGGCAAGGAACAGAGTCTCGGGGAGGAGCTGAAATGCAGCGTGAGCTTCTACCAGGAAATCAAGGAGATATGGGCGCATAAACCACTGGATCTCAGTCTGAATGTCGATAGAGTTGACATCGGGGAGGGTCTGGGATTCCATGTGCATCATGTGTTGCATGATATCCTCTTGGTATTCATCGGCTGTTAGCCTAGAAAGCTCTTCAGCGATGGCTCGTTGTTGCATCTTGGATACGGCTCGGTGCCTTTCTCTAGCCTCGGCTCGCATGGCATAGACACCATCGTCATGTGACTCGACAAAGTACGAGTCGCAGTTGCCGTAGCGGGACTGCTGTTGCTGTTGCTGGTTGTACGCCATTGTGAAGTGGTGTCGATATGTCAAGGTGGTGATCGTCAGGTCTCCGGGATAGACGTGGGTAGTGTAGTGGTTGAGTGAGTGGATAGCTTCAAATGGTGAGCTGAATTAGAGAGTGGCAGCCTAGAGGGCAACGAGTGTAGGGACTGTTATTAGTTGGTATAGGTGAAGGTCTGTGGTCCGATTTTGGTGAGTGCGTGATATCGGGAACCAGTTGTAGTGGACAGAGCCTGGTCCAATCGTGTTAGTGGTTGATCTAAGCTGCTTGGCATGATGCCAAGACCTCGAACGCGCTACATACCTTTACAGAATTAGTGCTATTATGTTAGTGAGCGAGTGAGGTGTGTGCAAAAACACAAAAAAGACAGTTGAAGAAGTCGAAGAGTGCGAGTTCCTTGCTAATTGCATCCAGAAGACAGATTGAAATTGAACGGGGTCTCGAAATGGGGCAGAGCACGAGCTAACGAGTCCGCCGGGTTGGGTAAATCGCCAGAAGATGGATTACAATACAAGTATCCGGAGTTGGATACTAGGTCTAAGCCAGGGTCAGTACAGGTCATGACAAACGCCATAATGGTGAGCACCTACGTTGCAAGTCCTGTTCGGCGCTGGTGGAAGCTTGGTGCAGCTGGTGGCAGACAGTCTAATGAGGGAGGATGGTCAGTGTTTGTTCGTACGAAGAGGCAAAAGCCATGACTGGTAGAGAAACAATCCTGGAAGAGGTCCCGACCGGCGAAACAAATGGGAGTCGTCGATAGTGAGAGCAGTTGGAAGTGGACGCCTGACTAAGACAAGAGCGGCGTGATCGGATACGGCGCCACAGTTGTGCCGGCAAGGTCAGGTGATGAGCGGTGAATCGTGAAGAGCAAACCCATATCGCACGCTCACCCATCACCCCATGGCAATGAGCCACGGAATACCTCTGGTTTACGGTCGATCTCTAGATGTCGGACGTGGCATCATGAAGGACGCAGGCATGACATGCAGTTGTGATTGCAAGGGAGTATCGTGATATTGCCGAGGTGGCCTCTTGGTCGATGGTACAACGGGCAAGAACAATCCGCACACCTGGAACGCAACCAAACGCCCATACCTGGCCCTTCCAGACACAGTTCCAGCAGAGCATCATACCTCGACTCCAAACATAACCCCGTCGGCCTCTGGGCTGCCCTTACCAATCTCCCTCGAACGCTTGCCAAGCTACCTCCTTCCAACTGACTCAACATTGCTTTGGTCCATGGGGTGGGCGTCGAATACGGTATTGGAGGAGAACATAGGTCGCAGGATCCATAGACAAACAAGCACACCGGGGAATCCGGAGCTAGACGGGAGAAGAGGGTTGACCTACCGAGATGAGAGCCCAATTGTCACACGCGAGGCTGTTTATACAGGGGGTCTGGGGTTGGCGGCTGTATGCGGAGCGAAGGACTAGAGTACAGCGAGTATCTCTACGTCCAGCGAGAGACGAGGGAGGGAGTCGGCGGATGAATGGGTAGCGGTGGAGGGCACAGGGAGTCTGGTACTCTTCACGGTCCTATTCGAGGAGAGACGGCGGTCGGGAGTGGATGACCGAGAGCAGGAGGTGGGGAGTTTTATGGAAAGACAGGAGCCGAGAATGTCAGCACCACATCAGATCCAACGTTTCTCCGTGCTCGACCGTAATGAAAGAGAGGATATGGGAGGGAGGGAGAGGAGAGGGAGAGAAGAGCACGATACAGACGGAGGCAGGCTGGAGAAAACGAGTGGGCGAGCAAGGCCCTAGGAGAGATGGACTAGCCGGATGCGGGCGACGGCAGCTTGCACAGCATGGGAACAGGGAACCTCGTACGCCCAGAGCGCACAGCCAACCGATGCATGTTCCGCCGCCGTCGTGCCCCATTGTGGATCAACCATGGCGTTTTCTGCGTCTGGGAAGCTTCGTCCAGGAACACGCTCGTTGAACGCGTCCTAGTCGTGTCTGTGTGCTGCGCCAAATGTCACTACTCAATGTCGCGGCTCCCGCTGGCTGTCGCGACACACCCGGCGCTGTGCGTGTGCGTGAGTGGGTGTGTGTATGTGTGTATGTATGTGCGTGGGTGCGTGCTGGTCGCTGACTATTTGCTTGTTCCCAACGCACCGCCGCCGTAGCAGCAGCCAAGTATTATTTACAGCAGGCAAGTAATGGGATGGGTTTGGATAGATGGGATGGACGGGCAGCGCGGACGGGCTTGGGCTGAGCTGAGCGGTGGCTGCACCGTGAGCATGTCGTCTGCTCGAATCAGCGCTGTGGGCTAGGTCCGGTGAGGCCACTCATGCAGAGCTATACAAGGTTGCAGCATGGCCTGCAATGGCTGTCCAATGTCTCCCCCCGCCCGAGCACAGGAAACAAGATGCTTTGGACATGGCCAAGAGGCGAGCATAGGGCACTGGGCCGGCGCACTCGCTGTTTGCATTTACGCAGCGTCGTGGTTCCCCTGACACACTATGCGCTGCTGAGGCTAGGCCTCGGCCAAGCGGGGGGCCCTTTGATCCCATATCGTCATCATTTGCCCAGCGGATGGACTAACTGCTCCTCCTTTTACCACTCGGCCGCACTAGCTCCAGCAAAAGCAGCTTGCCGGCACGTTGCATCCTTGTCACGCGTCGTATCTCGCCAGTGCCAGTGCCAGTGCCAGCTGCGAATGTCCTGTCCTGTCCTGGACAGCCGCTATGGCTATGCTGCCCTTGAGCAAAAGAGCCCTTCTCGTTCCACATACGGCGGCCCCCCCCCTTTGCAACCCCAGAAGGAAAACACCGACGCCCCTAGAGCTCGCGGATGACTCGACTGCACACCCCCTCACGCAGCCATGGCCGCAGCTGGTGCAACACTGGCCGGGCTGGCTGGCCGGGCTGGCTGGCTGGCCCTGCCCGCGGTGCCGGCCGTTGAAACCATCGTTTGGTCAGTGGCAGCAAATAGCATTTGGTGTTTCGCCCGCCTGAGGCTGCCCAGCTCGGCTGCCATCGTTGGCTATTAGCGGGTGCAGGCCGGGGTCCACGCGTTTGGCTCAATCTACTAGCAACGCGTGTCTGAACCTAACAGAGGGCGTGAAATTGCCAATTCTGCTACCACTACTGCCTGCGCCCGAGCCAGCCTCAAAAGGGTTCCAACCCAACGCCCTTGAACCTCCCGCTTTAGCCGTCCCCTTGCTCAACATCATACAGGACCACGGGCGGAATGACTGACATACATACATACATACATACACTTGCTTGCCTTATTATAAGGAGCGGCATTGCGCACAAAGACCACAAGGCGCCGCATGCAGCCCCTCCCTAGCCTTGCCAGGGCGGGCGCCTAGCTAAGTAAGTAGCATTCTACCCTCTACTCACCATCGTCAACAAGCAAGGACACAAATGTCGATGCCCTAAATGCGGAAGGTAAATAGTTGCATATCATAGCCTCGCGACTAACACAACATGCGGGCCACGGCTCCTCACATTAGGCGAGTGCAAGCTCTGCGCGGCTGCATCGCAAAGTGTCAAATGGCGTCGAGTTCCTGCAGGCTTACTAGCACTCGGCCCTACAACCCACCACACTAGCACCTCCACATCTGCCTTGGATGACCTGCACATCTTCATGCCTCCGTCATCCACGATTGCGTACTTCTGCCCGTCATGCTTACTACATCCCAAGCCCTCTGTCTGCAATTGATACCCATCACTACCACTACCACTGCTATTGCATGCTACACTACACACGTATCTAGCTGCTGCTACCGGGTCTGCTACATACTTACCATGTAATTCCCTGTACATACAATATTATTTCCCCGACTCATCAGGTGGCCCGGCTTCGGATATTGAACCGCGGCTGGGCACATCATCGCACAATCAAGCATCTTAGCATTAGCGCCATCTTGCCATTTCGCCTTCATCATCTGAGAAAAGAAAAAAGCACGTGTGCGTCGACGCGATTACTCCGCATTCACGCTCCTAACACGTCTTGTCCCCATCGCCTTGCTGCAGCTAGTAGCCAGCCGACATGCGGAACCGTAGCACCGCCAGCCACTGCTGCACCTAAGCACGCCTGAGACGCAAAGATTATGTCACAAGTCGCGAACAGAACGCGTCTTAAAGTACTTGACTGTGCGCACGCGACTTGAAGGATCCAGCCTGTAGTCTATTTTTTCCATCTTACTCCGTGCCCTTTCTCAGAGCTGCCTCGGTCGGACAATCTTCACGGCACGGTACTTGCCTCAAGTGGGCCGATCTTCACACCCAGCATCACCACCTGCAAATTTCTTCTGCCTTTGTCTCTAAGAAGCGGATCTTTTTTTTTCTGACCTGGTGGTGTCGGGGTGAAAAAACGGGCTCGCCATTCTCCCTAGCAACGAGGGACCGATGTCTGCAGTCTTGCGGCCGGGCTGCAGATGATTCGTCATGAAGGCATCCCGGGCCTTCAGCTTTATCGCTTAAAGAGCGTTACCTGGACACCACATGCACTTGTCAGAACATCTGTGCATATTGGCACGACCGAGCAAACTTTTCCATTGTCCCTGGAAACGCCCAGTAGATAGCACACTGCATGTTTCAATAAGCACCATCCGCTCTTCCGTAGCAACAAGCGTGAGTAGCAACGCCTATCTGTTGCAATCGGCATATTCCCACTGGATCACCGCCTCGTGTCCCACGGATAATGAGGCCGGCTGCAATACTGCTTACCACTAAATACCCCGCCCATCGGTCAATGCTTCCCGTCTGGATGCACGTTTCCAAGGTTCGTCCTTTTTGTTTTTTTGTTGCATCCCATCATCACCACCATTCTTATAGCGGATGCTTTCAACCGTGTCTTGGGTGTGGCAAAACCCCTCAGACGTTCGTGTCGGGCGCGTGCCATTTACGCGCAGAATCACACTTCACAGACCACCACCACCATCAGGCATCTTGAAACATGTCGGGATGACAAGACCGTAACCAGCATGGGAGACGCTCATCCCACTTCAAGTGGACGCCAAGCCCCATCCACATGCGACTGATCGTGCGCAAATTGATCTCCGCTCACACCAACCCCTGGGAATCCTAATATTAATATCATTTTGTGGTTGCGCAATCACAATTTGTACGAAATCTCGGGCCTGCCCAGGCTTAACTAGTCCCAGTTCCAGACAATTGCCAGATTTGCTTTGTGATGTTGTATCCATATCAAGTCCTTTTTTCGCCTGCACAATCATCTAGGTTTTTGCCTCTTTTTGCGTCAAGCCACTAACGCGTCCACGGCAACACCTTGTTATTCATGACGTACGCGAGCGTTGATGCATTGAGTTTGGTCCGCTTGTGGGCCGCTGAAGCCAGTTTTGACTCGCGTAACCTTGTCAGGAGAAGCCAACATGTGACTTATTACAGGTTTGTGGCAAAGCCTTTTCTGCAACGCCGGAACCTTCTTTATTCAGAACTGCCATCGCTTCCGTAAACAAAGCGCACCGTTTCTCTGAGAATAGACCGACCGAGACCGACCCGTCCTTACATACGGCCAATTCGCCTAACTTGCTTTGCCCAAGGCGAAATTGCCACAAAGTATTTCGTATTGTCCTCAAAATCCATTGGCTCAATCGAAACTCACGGATATTGCAAATCACTCGTAGCATACATGTATATATATCATCACCTCTATATAGTCAACAATCACTTGAATCAGGCATTTCCCTCTACAACCACTTGTACACCCAACAGAGTATGTTCTCCTATCGTCCTGAGTGATCGATACTAGATACGACGGGATAGTGCTATAGGGGAGCATGCAGGACTGAGTCGAGTTGCAGCTGCCCTGCATCGAGTCGAGGCCGACGCAGCTTGTTCCTCCAAGATGTATACGGCACACCAAGAGCCCCTCATGTACAGATGCAGGAATGGCCGTCAGGTGAACGTGTTTCGATGCTCGTAGGACTAGGTAGATGATTCTAGTCGTCGAAGGAGGTGGTTTGAAGCGTAAGATGTGCCGACGCAATGTACGAGGTGTAGGCGACCTATTTGGGGTGTTTGATTTCCTATTTGTTAATAAGATGCATATGAAAGATCGTTTTCACTTCTCCTGACGCATTATTGCCTTGTACAAATCATCTGAGTTGATGATAGTCTGAGGCATCTGCGGAGATGATGCGGAGGTAGTCAGTGTTTCGGAGAAACATTCGCCGAGCTCCGACTGGACCCACCTAAAAGTCAAAGTCGGCTTTTGCCAAGAGTTCGAGAGAACTTCGCGAACCAGCTCCTTCAGTACCATGAGTGTAGTACCTTGATGCTAGCGCTCGGTTTGTAGACCCGCGCGCAGCTTTAGATAAAGCAGAGGCTCATCAATCCCCCCAAAATTAACCATGGATATCCACCGATCACGTTTCGTACCCTTCCCGCCATCTGCGATCAACGCGCTTGCCTTTTCGCATCCAGAAGCCGAACATGGACAGCAAGATCCCGAGTCGCTGAGACTTGCTATCGGGCGCGCGAACGGAAATATCGAAATCTGGGACCCAGCAAAGGGATCATGGCTCCAAGAGAAGGTCTTTTATGGCGGTAAAGATCGGAGCGTCGAAGGGCTGGCCTGGACTCAAGAGCCGGATGAGCGCGATGCACAAGGCAAGGTAGTCCCAGGTCGCTTGCGCCTCTTCAGCATTGGATACTCGAGCACCGTCACCGAGTGGGATCTGACTACTGGTTTGCCCGCTCGTCATTCGGACGGAAATCATAGCGAGGTCTGGTGCTTTGCGGTCCAACCTAGGCAAAAGAATGTGGCAAAAGGAGCCGCCAAAGAGGAGGGCAATGCGCGCCAGAGGCTAGTTGCGGGTTGCGCTGACGGTACAATTGTTCTTCTGTCTACCGAAAACAGCGACCTTACCTTTGAGCGCTTCGTTTCGCGCGCTACGAACAAAAAGGCGCGCGCCTTGAGCATCACATACAAGGACCAACACACGGTTCTCGCCGGCTTCGCAGACAGTATGATCCGAGTATTTGATACCAGAAACGGAAATGTGATCAGGAACATCTCCCTAGGCAGCGGGCCTCACGGTGGCCCCAAGGAGATCTTGGTATGGAAGGTTAAATGCCTTCCGAACGGCGACTTTGTATCTGGAGACTCTACCGGAGACATTAGAACCTACAGCGGCAAGAACTACAGTCAGACACAACGTATATCTGGACACGAAGCCGATGTACTCGATCTGGCTGTGACCCGCGATGGGTCTGGCATTTTCAGTGCAGGCATGGACCGACGCACCTGCTTCTACACGAGCAAGAAGGGACAATCCCAGGGACAGAGCGGCAAATGGCGAAAGGTATCCCACCAAAGATACCACGAACACGACGTCAAAGCCATGACAACATACGAAGGCAACAAACTCAGCGTTGTCGTCACCGGAGGTAAAGCAACTCTACTACGTTCAATAGTGTGCGACTAACATGTATACGTACAGGTATTGATACACAACCCATTGTTGTGCCCATCCGTACTTTCGGAAAGGAACTTAGCCGTGGTCTCCCAGCCTTACCTCCTACTCCTCCCATGACAAGTGCTCCAGACGCAAGGTTGTTGGTCAGCTGGTGGAACACCGAAGTTCGTATCTGGCGTGTAAAACCACAGGAGGATGGCACAGAAAAGCCCAAGGTGGTGGCACGACTCGCCCTTCAGGGTGAAGAAAACATCATTTCGGTTTCCATTTCTCGAGACGGTGGGCTGCTCGCTGTTGCCACAGCCAGCACAGTCAAGCTATTTCAACTGTTACACCCACAGGCTGGAGCTGGCGCTGGACTACGCGTGCGAAAGTTGGAAATGCCTTCAATCCCGGGTGCGAAGTCTCTGAGAATTTCTGCAACTGGCAAATGGCTCGCTGCTGTTTTGGCCACAGATGAAATCCGGTTGGTCAGAATCGTGAGGACAGATGACCCGGCAGACACGCCTCGTGCGTTGGAGAAAGTGCAAGCCTTACACCGCCTGGATCGTGATACTATCACAAGGAATTCTCTCAGCGGCCCTTCTGGGAGCTACGAGCGATCCATTGCACATGCAGATTTCTCAAGGGACGACAACGTGTTTGCTGTTGTTGACCTTGCTGGATACGTGGATACTTGGATCGTTCAAGGACACGAGGATTCAACTGCTCCAGAGATTGATATCGACGACTCAACCCCTATGGCAGACAATGATGGATCGGACGATGAAGAGGAAGAGCCGAGTGAACAGATCACATACCTTGGACAACACTGGATACGAAATCCTTCAGGTCATCTGCTTCCCCGGCTAGACTCGACGCCTGTGCTGCTCTCCTTCCAGCCGAACCCAGAATCCTCCGATCGACCAGAACCCAACGGCAACCCTGCTGTCCACGCTACTAGGAACAACCCGCACCCCAAGTCACACGAGCTCCCCGCTATAGAGTACAAACTGCTACTCGTATCCGCAGAGCACCAACTCTACCTCTTCGACGTAATGTCCGGCCGCCTCTCCGACTGGTCCCGCCGAAACCCCCCCTCCAGCTACCCCCGCGAATACAAACAAATCGACCTCCCCGCCAAAGGTTGCATCTGGGACGTCTCCGCCTCCCAACAACGGCTATGGCTCTACGGCGAAAAATGGCTCTTCATGTTCGACCTGTCGAGAGATTTCGCCCCCTCCGACACCGAATCCACCGGCAAAAAACGCAAGCGCGAAACCCTCAAGCACACTGCCTCTGGCGCCGGCGACATCGTACCCAGGAAAGAAGCACCAGTCAGTAAAATGCGCAAGTTCCACAGCGACGAAGCAGATAAGACTGGTCGTCAGAAATGGGTCGATGTTAACGCTGTTCCTCGCACCAACGATGACGACGACGACGCAGTCGACGATGAAGACGAAGAAGAAGAGTCTACAGCTGTTGCCAAACCCGAAGCAGATGATACTGTAGATGGTACCGCACTCGGCAAGCGCACTGACGCGTGGTGGCACACGTTCAAGTACAGACCCATACTTGGTGTTGTACCCATTGCTGCTGATAGCGACGATGGCTCAGCGCCAGAAGTTGTGCTTGTGGAGCGGCCGAGTTGGGATTTGGATCTTCCGCCCAGATTCGTGGGGACGCATGAGCAGTAAGTTGGGGAATTGGCTAAGGAGGAAGGAAGGGTGAGGAGACGCACGGGATTTACACGTCACGAGTGGAGAGTAGGAAAAGGGGGCAACGATGGGTTAGCATGGGGATTCTTTTTTTCTGGTACCGCGTCGTTGGTACCTTTGAAGTTATGTACATTGATTTTTTTTTCTCTTAGAAATGTCTCATCTGAAGATAGAAGAAGAAGAAGAACAAGAGTGATGCTCGAAAAAAAAAAGAATTTCTTCATCAACTTGATATTTGCCAACGGGATAGTCTTTCAATTGAACAAGTGGAAAGCACCATACGGTCTCACACAAGTATAAAAAGATATACATTTGAACAACACAATGATATAGAGGTCAAGGGATGAAGATATTTATGTGATCATAGTATGATTTTGGGTTTGATTTGTTCGCCGGAGCGACTGATACTGCAATGTCCTTTTCCACCAAAGACGTTATGCCACACCAGAGAAAAAACTTTCAAAAGAATCTGTAACAGAAAAACGCCGTTTTCCAGGTCATGTCGGGGGTATATACCTCACGAGAAAAGGAATGAGCAAAAAAAAAACACCAACAATAACAACAAGAAACCACACTCGCAAATGGTCATACAGGTCGTTATAGAACCACTCGGCCCTACTTCTATCCAAAACTTATGTGGAGAGAGAGAGAGGACGGCAACTCCAACAGTAAACGCCTACTAGATGATCAAGCCCATGTTGGTCAATTAGACATTGGACCTGAAGGGCTCGTAAGCGGTAGCACCACCCATCTGGGGAGTCTGCTTCTGGCTGCTAGGCCACTTCTGCATCTGATGACCCTGTTGGCCGCCAAAAGCGGGGCTGGCAACACGCTCATAAGTGTAGGGAGTCTTCTCAACGGTCATTTTCTTGCTCTCGCTCTTTCCACTGCAGCAGCAGGTGCTGATGAGCCAGAAGAAGCCAGAGGCAACGGAGAAGGCGACACCAAGCCACAAGGTGGAAGTCATGCGGGAGCCCATATTGACGTCAATGTTGTAGGGGTCAAGAGCTGTCCTGAAGACACCAGTCAGGGTGCCGTAGGTCGCAGATGCGGTGATTGCGGCGCCAACAGCGAAGATGGTTTGGGCCTGAAGCAGATGGGTCAGTAAGGCTGCTTCTGGCAAGTGCAATGATCTAAAGGTAGAGAACTTACGGTAGAGATGACAGTAGTGACAAGGCTGCCCCACCTCGAGAAGATGGCAAAGAAGCCGACGATGAACTCGATGGGGGTCAAGACAATGACAATGACAAAGGCCCAGTTCATCCAGCCAGCAACCTTCTTGTAGACATTCATTCCGCTCTCGTACTTGTCGCCCAGAGCCTCCTGCAGAGCAGTGCCATTCATGCCCCAGACCTTGAGAGGGTCAAAGTGGAACTTGAACTTGCGAGCAGAGCAGTATGTAATCTTTTCCTCGCCAGTCTCCTTGTTGGTCTCGCCCTCGCAGTAGGAAAAGAGGCCGACCTGGTAAAAGTCCTTGAGTTCCTTGGAGTCGGCCTTGCCGCGGAGAGCATCGAGGAAATCGTTGCTGGGGGTGAGACCTTCAGGAAGTTTGTCGAGGATGGTTTGTGAGTCGAGCGTCATATTTGACGTATCAGCCTGTTGGCGGGGGGGTCAGAATGCGTGCTTTGACAAGAAGAAGACTGTGTGGTAATAGAAAGAACATACCTTCATGAAGTAGAGCTCGCGGCCACTGGCTGTAGCTGGTGCGTTGTTGCCCTTCCATGGCGTTTGGCCGAGCATGACCATAACAAAGCATATTAAAGATGCGAGAGTGAGAGCCAGAGGCGTGATAATACACGCAAAACGACCGGCTTTACCCATGTTTGTGGTAGTGGGCGGGAAAAAGAAAAGGTAGTCTCGCTGTGGATGCGGGTTGAGGGTTGTTGTAGTAGAATTGCGGGATACCAAGCAAGGACTGGCTGATGTCACACAGCGGGTGCACGGGCTATCGACCGGGTAACGACTGTGGCTACGGGTGTTACAGCTGCCGGTGGAAAGGGAGAAGGAGGAAAAGCAAACAGCTCAAAGGGTGAAGCCCAGATGAGTGAATGCAGACGACTGGGTGTAGAGGGTATGCAGGTGTGTAGCGAGTGGGATGAAGCAAAATGCAGGCTGGACTACTAGCCTTTTGAACCAGCAGTCATAGGCAAAGACCAAGGCCGCAGCTGAAATGCGCAGGGCGGAGGAGGGCAGCCGAGGGGGGCTGAGTGGCCAGCCAGCTTGGTGGGGGCGTGCCAGCTTGTGGCCTGTGTAGTAGAACGGCGTCCAAGTGGCGGGCCCTGGGAACGGGCAGTGGTGAGGTGGGTAGTGGTAGCGGCTTAGTCCTTCACCAGCCTCACTGAGCTTGCGACAGCTGTGGGTTCATCGACGGCTGACATAGACAACTCTCCCGCACATAGACAGCTGCAGTGCCTAACAAACCGTCTGCGCTGTGTGAAGACGACGCCGAACCACTTTGTACACGCCTGCTGACCCTGCCCACGCATTTGCATGCTTAACTCGACCCGACTCTTAGCCCCATAATGCATTGTGGCTGGGCTCACCCGACGGCTGTAGACAACACTTTATTGTCAACGCATGAGTAGAATGCACACCTATGCACTCAGTGGTACCAAGATACCAAGTCTCCACGCCTAAAACCGTCATGACTAAGGAGGCCAAGTCCCCAAACACAGTTTCAGACCTACCCTCACCCGCGCTACGCACCCTCTCTCTGCCAAGCCCTTCCCACTCGGCGCTTCTTCGTGAACTACTCTGCTTCCTCTTGATTACTCCACGCGGCCAACTCGTCCATTTCTGCCTCTTCCCTGCTAGCTGCCAATTCCTGCCCAAGCCAAGTCTCCAGCAAGTCGCACAGCCATGGCAGAGCCTCCAACTTTCGTCGTCACCGCCACATTGCTACACTTACACACAGGCGCGCTGACATCTACCGCGCCCCCTTCCCCCTCAAAATCTCACACACACTAGGCCTCATTAGGTGAAATGTCGTGCCCAAATGTCTATTTTTAGATGATGACCATGTTGCCTGTCTGTCTGTCACCCTTCCTTTTTTCCTTCTTCCAGCTTCCCTCTGTCCTCTTCACCTGCCGCTCTTTGCCGTCCCTCTTGACTAGATCCAGCCCAAAGCTGGAGAAAAGAACGGCCGCTGATCTCACATGACTCGTATCCTCGCTGTCGTGCATGAGCCCATCACCGCCCACACTATAACTATGTATAATACTCCATATTATCACCACCCTTCGCTCGGGCTCGTGAAACATCTAGTATGCTTTTCCTTTAGTAGTACACATGTCTATTTCTTTCTTTTTTGTTGGCCCGTAGCCATCAATCTCATGTAGTGTTAGAGTAGACAGACACTATTGCTGCCCTTTTGTTATCGTTTGCCCCTAGGCCTGACCGCCTGTGTGCCGCCATCCCCCCAACGCGCGTCCCTTGCAAATCTTTCACTCACAGCTCGACATAAACACGTAGTCAAGGTAATCATAGGCATGTGCTTCGCAGCTATTGCAGATACATGACCAATCTTGGTCGTTGATTTTCCTATCTTGCCTGCTGCGCACTAATCCTGCAGTCTGCCCTGCGTATGGGGCGCTACGGACGCGCGTCAACCCCTCCCTCCTACTCATCACCCTACTGTTGCGGATCCCCACACCTCCCGTGTACAACTCATCCCATCCATCTCACCTGCCTGCTAGCATCCAGTCCAATGCCGGCAAACGTGAATCCCATACATCATGCGTACAAAGCCCAGAAATGCTCGTGACATACGAAATATAACATAAGAAATCCGGTCGCAATTCGTGAAAAAAAAGAAACTCTGATGCCAAGTGGTATAAACAGTGTCGCAAGCAAAAACCCCTTGCGCACACACACACAAACAAGTAGAAGTGAAGAATGCAACATTGCAATGAGCAAAGAAAGAAAGAAAGAAAGAAAGAAAGAAAGAAACGTCTTGGTCGCTAATAAAACGCGACACAAGAGAGACAAAGAGACATGACAGCGAAGGAGAAGAAGAATGATGATGATGATGGAGAAGAAGAGAAGAAAGACGACTAGGAAAGCCTCAGTCGAGGTCCGGGTCAAGACATTAGAGTTTACCGCTTATGTCTCTCTTGTAACCTTGCTCCTGAACGCCAGCGCAAAATGAATCCAAATCGACATGAATCCCAGATTCTATATTTTACACGCCGGACCGTCTTCCGCGTAGCGAGTGTCGCGGGTATCATTTCGGAAGAGAACCGGCTTACATCGCACAGTCTGCATGCCTGCCTATGACCAGGGCACCAAGCGAATCTCACCCAGTACCAATGCCCTGGCTCTGGCTAGTCATGTAGACGAGATGCGACCAACAAGTACCGGGTATAGTAGTAAGTGTGATGTGCGTGCTTGGGCTTCTCTACCCAGTCTCATCGTGGGTGTTGGTTTCGGGGATCTTGCTGGTTTTGCTGTTGACCACCCTCGCCGCGGGCTCGTATCCATGCCGAGTTGCCGCTCAGGCGGCCTTCGAGTGCTTTTTGAGCATCGGCATCTAGTCGGCGTGTGACTTGGCCGTTAATGATGTCTTCGGGTCGTAGTTTGCACACGGCCTGTGCAATGGATGAGATGACGCCGGCGCGGAGCTCCTTGGCTTCGCGGATGTCTTCGCCCTGCAGGCGGAACTTGTCCTGTTTGGACATGTTGGCTCGTCGTGTTGCTCGGATCTCGTCCATGATGTAGAGGAGAACTGCCTCTGGTGCACGGTTGCGCTCGGCAGCATGCTTAGCGTCACGGACATATCGGCGGGTGACGTCCATGGCACCATCAGCCGAAAAGGCAATGCAGTAAGAGAGCTTCTTGCCCCAGCCTGGAAACAATGTTAGTTCATGTGCCGTGTACGCATCTTGGAAAGAGACTGACCATCAGTGTATAACCGGGGCTTATCCCATGCCTCTTCGCAGGCATCTACGTGGACCCACCGCTTGCGGTGCACAGAGTAAACTTCGGTCCAGACGTGGTCTTCGGCATTCCAGACCCAGCGTACTCTTGAGCCAACGGCGCGGCAGAGCATGCTGAAGCAGTTTGCCCACTCACCACATCGGCCTCTTCGGGTTTGGAGCAAGACAAAGGCGTCGTTATATCGGGGAAAACGTTCATAGTTCCTGCAGCCGTCGTTGGAGCAGCGGTAGGCCTCGACCTGGCTGGCGCCGCGGGCCTGTTCGTCGGGAAGTGGTGGTGTGATGCCCATGGCAACGGTGGGTGAGTAGCATCGCGAGCAGGGAGGGTTGTTGACCCATGAGAAGAAGGAACGCTTGAACCATCGCAGCAGTGCGCGGACGACACAGTCTTGGTAGCCCCACGCTGCCTTCTTGCCAGCGCCCATGCTCTCTGCCTCGGCCTGCAGGATCTGGCTTTCCTCTTCAGCCTCGTTGTAGATTTGCTCAAGCGGGATGACGCGAAGGGCCTCGTCGAGTAGTCCGGGGTTTTCCCATCGTACGGGCATGTTGGAGAGCGAGTGGAGCATGTTCTTGAAGCGGAGGGAGCGAGCATCACGTGGGGGTTCTGGGACGAGGGGAATGTTCTTGATGGACGAGTAGGCCGGTGGGGCTGCTTGCGAGGGCGGTGGTTGGGGGGATCCAAAGTCGCGGGGCGCTGGTGATGAGGAGCGGGATTGAGATGAGCGAGATGTGAGGTCGTTGATTCGCTTTGTGCTGAGGACGTGGCGGAACTGCTCAGTCAGTTCGGCGGCCAGCCTGTCCGTGTCCATGGCGTTGGTGGCAGCGCGAGGAGCGCGGGTGTTGTGATCCATTGTCGACGGGCGCGAGGAACAGTCGCAATGGCGGGGGTTGTTGTGATGATTGGGGTGCTGGAGTGTCGAGGGGAGGGTGGATGGCGTCGGGGGGAGGAGCTGTGTATAGCGTGGTGGACAGGCGCTGCAGGTTTGGCAGTGGATGCACAGCCCGATGATGCGGCGGCGCAGCAACGCGGACAGCCACTTGCAGATGTTGTATTCTGGGAAAAAGCTGCCGCTGCTGCTGTCGACGGGCGCGAAGACGGCGATGGCTCTTCTGTGGAAGTGCAGGCAGCGGAGCAGCGCAGTGAGACACAGAGGCGGCGTCGGTAGAGTCGTGGTGTCGCTGCAGCGGACGCAGGTGGACGAGGGTAATTGATTGAGGGATGGGGCAAGACGACGACGACTCGCGCTTACCGCATGCGGGCGGGTTGACGCGGCCCTGTCGCGGCTTCCTCATGTCTAGAACCCACAACACCGACCAGCCGTGACCGTCACCTGCAACCACGCGCAGGCAGAAGAAGCGCCAGGCCGCGCCTCATCTGCCCGGCCCTTATTCATCCACCCACACTCGATCCATCCATTATTCATCCATCTACGTATCCTCTACATCCATCCATCCACCCTATACACGTACAATGCATACGCATCATCCGACTGCCCTCCCTGCGCCATCCGACGCCCACCGTCCACTGTCCTGGGCAACCGGGTACGCAGCGCCGCGCAGGGGGCGGTTCACGCTCGCTAAGCGTGGCAGATTCGCACTACAGCTTGCGCAATCTTTGGTGAACCACTTTGGCTGCGTCGCAAGCACCACGGCCCTTCTCTCGTCACCTGTTTCGACCCCGTCGCCAAGCTGCCTCTGCATCAGAGACGCGCCACACAAGCTTTGCTGGCCAATATTGGTTGTCGACGCTTTCGTCCCACACCCCGTGACCCAGCAACGCCTTCATCGCTGCTCCTTTACACACATTACGTGATGGCCGCCCCCATCAAATACCCACTCCATGATGCGCTTGCCGCTCGCCCTGCACCACACTCGACTCAGCCTCAACTTTCCCATGGCTACGCTTTTTTGCTCCTTAAGCTTTCTCATTGCCTGCCCCGTCGCAAAAGTACTTACTGAGTACTTAATCTCCCCTGCCCTTCTAGAGTGTTTTCCCTGCTCACGCTATTACCGTCGCGGCACGCCTGAGTGGTCGAGACGTTCCTCTGTCGCTAGCCACGCGTCCGTCTGCCCGAAACTCCACCGCCGTTGAACATCAGCCTGTGCAAAAGAATTCGCCGATCTACCGCAAAAGCGCCATGACCTTGTCGACGGATATCGTCCCTTCCATCGTCCAGTTTTTGCACTTTTGCATCTTTTTTCTTACCCTTACCAACGCTTCTTGCATCATATGCTAAACGCATGCGCGGTGCTGAATCCATCGGTGGCGCAAATTCTTGGGATCGACTGCAGGTCATAACCCGATTACGACGTGCGCGCCTAAAGCCTTTACAGGCCTCGTCATTATGTTCCAAACACGAATCCCTATTTTCTGTTCCCAACGGGATCCGCACGCACACCAACGCTGCTCTCCCTCATCTGCAAGGCTAATCACGCATGTATGACTCGCACATCAACAGTTTACAATTTAGTAGGTCTACGTGAACATCACTCGTCCATCTGCCCAACAACACACTGTATCTGGACACTTACCTCCACTAATTTCCTCGGACCTCCATTTATTACGGCTCGTATCAAGCCTCTTGCAGAGCGGACATGATCATCCTTTTACCGTACCCAGAATTATTGTACAGCTGTCAATGGGTCCCGCTTCACTATCGTCCTTCACCGCACCTTTTCTGTTCATCTTTCCCGTCACCACGCACACAAAAAGAAAAAAATCTTCATTTATCCCCGATCACTGCCGGACATGTGTGTGTCACACCAGGTCTTTCTCGTCTTACGTCTGCTTGCCCACATGTAATATGTCTAACCATCAGCACAAACTCTTGGCGTTGTAGCGTATAGCGGTCAACTACTACTCTATCAGCATCACTCGGGACAATGCAAGCGACATCTCGATAATCTCTTCCCATCATCCGATCAACCCATCCCGGCTGCAGTTCGTACTGTGCTCAAAGTCACGTAGCACGACCGGGGAATGCTGACGTAGACCTGGGTCACTCACGGACCCCATCAGCCACGATCCCGGCGCAGTACCGACCAAAGTACCTACGTACCACTCATTGCCTCTGACAGGATAGTACGTATGTAAGTATATACGCAGGCTCTTAGGCAGAGAGCTGCCTTGCGTACGTACGAAGCCTGTCCTGAGCTAAGCATCTGCTTGATGAACGATGATTAACCGCTTGCGGTTTCCGCCGCACGACACTAGGGATCATATTTTCTTGAGTCCCGAACATGCGATGTGGCTTGTGATGAACTACTCTAGGACCTAGACATGACTTGAAGTATACCCTACTATGCCGTATAAGGTCAGGATGGCTATTGCATGTCATGAGACAACATGTCAAACTTCGTTCATTTTACTAATCCAGATTTTTCACACCACGACTTTTTCCCCAATCTTGCACAGGGATATGGAAAAAAATTCTCACCTGCGCAAACCTCTCTAGCAGTATAGAAATTGTTAAAAGTGGGAAGCAAAAAAAAACTGTTTCCGGCACTCAGGGGGAGACCACACAGCCCGATGAAGAAGCAGCCCAAGCCGTGTCCGAATCCTGATCTGAAACATCGTCTACAGCGACATCCCCTGTCGATGATCACTCAAAGTGTTACTGCGGGAAAACTAGGACTGGAGTCGTGGAACCCGTTCTGCGGGGTGTAGGGGAACGAGGGGTGTCCCAAATGACGATGTGCATGGCACAGCTTGGTCTATAAAGCCCCTTTTTTTGCAGTTGAATGACAAACTATTTCTTTGTCTGTCTTAAGAACAAGATATATATATATATATATGACATCGTGTTGAATCTACCATGATCATGATGCTCGTTACAAAAGCAATCCAACGCCCATTGTGTGCTATATAGAAAAAGAGAAATAATAATAAGTCGTGACGTTACATTCCTGCCTTAACAACCAATACACTGGCTCCAAGCTTGCCTTCCCATACCCGTTCAGCCAGCACACCCAAAGTCTGTGCTGCGCCAGTGCTACTTCGGATCTCATCCGTGTTGCCTGAGCGTTCCAGTACACCGTTGAGCGATACGTTGCGACCCAGGACAATCAAGTCTCCAGCATTCCTTGGCGACTGGTTGATTTCGATACTTGCACGGGCAATAACGTCGCTAACAGGGGCGGTTGAGGTGACGGTCTCGAAAACAACACGGTTGGCTAGATCAGCGGGAAGCGAGGCGCGGAGCGAAGCGAAGAAAGCGGCGTCCTGCTCGCGTGATGGAGGAGGAGTGATAGAGCTAGATAGAGCTGCCCAGGCTGATTCTGAGAGATCAAAGTGAACAACGGTAGCTGTGACTTGCGGGTTCCGGGCTAGCTGCAACACCAAGCGCAAAGCAGTCTTGTCGTCGTTGCCGCCAAAGAAGGGGAAAAACACGTGGTGGCTCTTGTCAGTAATGGGTGCTGTCACAGTCTTTTCCCGTGCACTGCCCAGACTGACGCTGCTGATTGTACGGTTGAGTCTGAGCCGTTGCTGCTTGTGCTCCCTGTTCTTGCTGCCGCCAAAGTTCTTGTTGATGAGCACAGCAACGGGGATACTTGCGTTCTCCAGTGTCTCGTGTACAAAAGCATTGTAACTGGATGCCTCGAGTTTGTTCTTTGTGCCTTTGTCTTCTATGATGGCCTGTTCAGACATACCGCCCGTCTCACTCCATGGCATGATAAGAAATTGCGAGTCCGAAGCGCGTGTTGCTAGTGTTTCGGCAAATGACGATTCTGGCACAACGAGTACCTCACCACTGACAGCAAGGTTGTGAAGGCGTCCAAAGGTGCGGAATGTGTTGACGACCGGATCGTAAGCGGTGTAGGATTCCAATTCGGAGACTTGCATGACGGACGAGCCACGGTCAGTCAGGCTGAGAAGGCGTAGACCGTAGGCTTCTACAGGACGGTTTGGTAGTGTCACTTCTGCTAGGCTCGTCTCACCGACCTCCTTGCCTAGGCTGGTGCTAGTGCTAGTGCTAGCGTCTTTTGATGGATGTGTCTTTGGTGCTGGGATATCGTTCCCGCCGAACAGGGAAGTGAAGGCCAGGAGGTTGGGCATGCTGTCCAGGCGGAGGTAGACAGTCAATTTCTCAATCTTCTCCGCGGCCATCTTCTCGTATTCCACAATGTCGCTGCTGCCTTCAGAATCGATGGGCTTACCAGTGTCCCAGTCGATTTCACCCCGACGCCATGCCTCGACCTTCTTCTGGTACCACGGAGGGTAAAACAACATTGCCAATGGCGACGAGGCAAAGGTGGTAACGAGAGCCATGACGACGAAGATGGTAAAGGTTCGAGTACTGAGAATCTTGGCGTTGAGACCAATGTTCTGCGATCATTAGTATCCTATCATAAACAATCACCAGAGTGTCAATCTTACCAAGACGATGAGTTCGACGAGACCCTTGCAACTCATCAAGGAACCCACGGCGAAACACTCTCGCCACAACATCTTGCTGCCCCTTGCCGCAAGTGTAGCGCTAATGAACTTGGAAAAGAACGCGACGGCCACGACTCCAATGACATAAGCCCACACAATACCAGAATTCAAGAGGCCAATGTTGGTGTTCAGTCCCGAGAGAGTGAAGTACAGGGGCAGAAATAGTGCACCAATCAAATCTTCAATCTTCTCGGCGACCTTGATGGCAAAACCGCCTTCGTGAGGGCAAATCAAACCAGCCATGAAAGCTCCGAAAATGGGGTGGACACCGATGATACCGGTAAAGAAGGCCGATCCAAGGGCGATGAGGAGAGTCAGGCTGATAATACCTTGACTGGGCCCATCTTGAAGCGCGCGAGATCGACGCAGGACGTAGACGAAGGCTGGTCGAACAGCGTAGACGAGGAAGACCATGTATCCCGCACACGTGAGCAGAACCCAGAGTGCTGTTAGTCCTGAACCGGCATTGACGAGTGCAACGCAGAGAGCAAGTAGAATCCATCCTAGAAAACGAATCAGCCTTGGTACTACAAATGTGAGGCGTTTTGGCTTGTGAAATACTCACCAACAACGTCGTTACCGACACCGGCTGACAAAACGATAATACCAACTGGTGTCATGAGTAATTTGAGTTCAGTCAGAATACGGCAAAGCACTGGGAAGGCCTTTTCAAAAAGTCAGCAACAGACTAGGTCACGGTATTAGACTGACTGACCGTAATCGC